TACTCCTCCTCCACCCCTGCTGCCGGTTATCCCGGGCATCGCTGTCCCCCCTGTGGGTCCAGGACCAGCACAGCGGCCGTGTAAATGGAGGAGAGATAAGCATTCTCCCACTGGTGATCTCTCCTCCTCTCTTTCTCTAAAGGCAGAAGCGATGTGTATTACTTCACTTCCGCCTTTTGCTGTCATTTCTCTGGCTGCTATAGCTAGAGAAGAAGCTGATCTCTGCTTCATTAGCTTCTATGGGGGTCCCAAGGTGACATTAGGAGGTATCTTAGAGAGCTCTGATGTCTATTTAAAGAGGACCTGTCATTGTATAATGGCTATCACATGGGGGCTGTTATATATTTTACCAAACCTAAAAGATACTGATAAATGTTTTATAACATAACGTAGGGAAAACAGGGTTTTTTTTTCAAAACTTTTTTCATTATATAGTACAAAATAAGAACCCCAGTGGTGATTAAATACCACCAAAAGAAAGCTCTATGTGTCCCCAAAAAATGGTATAAAATGAATTTCAGTACAGCGTTGTATGACGGAATAAATGTCAGTCAAAGTACCGCAGCGCTGAATACTGAAAAATGGCCTGGACAGGAAGGGATTTAACACCCCAGTCAGCAAGTGGTAAAGGTACCTGAATGCATTTTTGTAATATTTAACTCCTCAGTTTAGTGTCACTTTAAGCCCTGTTGTGGGCTGACAACACACAGCACTTTGTGATGTTTTGTCAGCCCTGCCCTAAGTGTTTTTTGCTAAACTACCCAACCATTCCCAGTCTGAGATTTCTACAACATAAAGACTAATCAGCCTGTAGTCCAAGAGATGAACTAGGAGGCTTTTTGAAATACAGGAAGTATGCAAATCGTACAGGACAGCTCTGAATTTTTGGAAAGATCAATTGGGAGATAAAAAATCAATTGTTAGGTTTCATATTCCCCTTTAAGTATGCCTGTGCTAGAAAAGAAAAAACGAATTTTAAAGTTTTTCAACACTCATCATATCATGCTTGCTTTACCACTACTGAATTCATATATATAATCTGAACCTCTGAGTATAGGAGAAGAGGTGTATACTCCGTCTTCCCACCTCTAAGATGCAATGCAGTTGTCAGACCTGAGCACTGTCACATGGGGGTGGGTGTTGATGCCTTGTCCTATGCAAATACCGCCGTTCACCCATCAGGGTTCGGGATGCACCTTTACCGATACTAGTATTGGTATTGTTGCCTATACCGAGTATCTGGGCGAGTACTCGTACTTGCCTAAATGCTCCAATACCTTCCATGATACTGAAACTTCCAGTCAGAAGAAGATTTTCTCTGACCGGCAGTGCCGTAGGGGACCATGGAGCCAGCTTCCTGTACAATCAAGAAGCTGGGTGGCGAGTAATGACCCACGTCCCGGCTTCCTTATTGGCCAGGAAGCCGACTCTATGCTGATTGGCCTGGAAGTCGGCTCCCGGGCCAATCCGCATCAAGCCAGCCGAACAGACGACTCGATGCTGATTGGCAGGGAAGCCGATTTCCCAGCAAATCACAATCAAGCCGGCCAAACAACATGGAGCCGGCTTCCCGGGCAATCAGGAAGCCGAGCGGCATGTCATTACCGCCGCCCAGCTTCCTGATTGCCAGCTGAAGCACTGGTATCGGTACTCGGTATCGCCAAGTACCAAAAGCAAAATATCAGTATTCATACTCGATACAGAAAAAACGGTATCGGTGCATCCCTAATCAGGGCTAAATGGTTTGTCTCAACCCTGTAACTGGCACTTTTGCTGGACAGCTTGGTCTGTTAAAGGAAGTTAAAAAAATAACAGACCTACTGGCCAAATCACCAGGTGAAATACAGGGAAAAAAGTCTAAAAAAAAGAAAACAAAGAAAACAAAAGCAGCCAATACATCTAAGAATTGGTAAGCTATAATAGAAAAGAGTTAAATCAAAACAGGTCAATATTTTTTAGTGAAAATAAGTAATTTAAAATACATACACTGCGCAGTGTAGAGGCGAAAAAAGATTTCCACTGTTATTACGGAAAGCCTTCTGTTCCAAAAGTACCTCTAAACAATTTTCATTGCCTGCAGAAAAGCAGCATTATTAAGGGCGGATTTTGTTATGCGCAACACACAAACATACCAGTGTTACATAAATAGCAATTTGTACCAGTATTTACATGTTTGACTTACCCTTATATGAAGTCCAGTGCAAAAGCGTATACCCGTAATTGTCTCTGAAACTGTAGTCTCCTTCTGAAAGTGCAATCAGCAGCAGTTCACTAAGCAGTGTAGAATGTCCCTGAGCAGCTGCATAATGCAGCGGCGTCCGTCCCGTCAGATCTGTACATAAAACAGATGCTTCCTGATCCAGTAGCATCTGAATGCATTCTTCATGGCCCGTCATTACCTAAAAATAACATTGAATAATTATATTTTGATGGTGTACACAGCAAAATCAGAACAGGAAAGCTACATAAACAAGATATTTAAAATGTTTAGTGTACCATCAAGGAGTTTTGTTTAAATTCTTTGTTTTAGGGCTTGTCCACACCATATACAGTGCGTTCCAGCGCGGTTAGCTGCTGGAACTAGAGCTGCAGCTAACGACTATTTTCAAAATCGATTAGTTAGCCGATTATTAAGTTCGGTTAATCGGATAAAAAATAAAATAAATTTTAAAAAATGGCTCCAGTGATGGGACTACTAGTTTGTATTGAGATTGTAGTCCATCACAGGAGCAAGCTTGGAGCGGTGGCAGTAAAAAAGAAAAAAAAAAGTGTGGTGTAATATAGTGAAATGAAAAGTGTAAAATTATACAGCAATGAATGCAGAATGGCATCGGCTATAGAGGACTACAACACCCAGCAATAGTACATTATACAGCGCAATGCAGAATACCACCAGCTATACAGTAGAGGAATACAACAAATCCCAGCAATAGTACATTATAGCTGGTGGTATTCTGCATTGCGCTGTATAATGTATTATTGCTGAGATTTGTAGTCCTCTATACCTAGTGGTATTCAAT